CTGGACATTTCAGAACCACAAAAGCCTCAGGAACCCCCACAGCGCCCCCAGGGTCTCAGCCGACCTCAGGGGATTGAGACCTCTCCACTCCCCCATTGCACAGTGTGGGGTCTCAGCCCTGGGTGCGCTCCCAGCCTCCCTCCCTGGGATCCTCCATGTCCCCTGCTGCTACTGGGTTGACGGCTAAGTCCATTAAGGGGCCCACGTGTCCCCACGCCCACCCTGTGACCCCTCTGCCCAAGTAGGCAGCCTGGCACAGGGCTCACCCCGGAGTATCCTTGGGCCTTCTGAGTCCGACCTCGGGGCTGTCCCTGCCCCCTGATGCGCCACCCTTCCCCCTGAGTCTCCTCTGTGCCAGGGGCCGCAAACAGGGGAGCCCCCTCCAGCTGGGTGGGGGCAGAGGGAAGCACCAATGCACCAGGTCAGCACGGGAAGACCGAGACCCGGCTGAGGGCTAGGTGACCCCACACACAAGCCCTGGCAGGTGAGGAGGGCTTGCCGCTGGAGGTGGGGGAGGGCTGGGGCAGGCCAGTGCAGGCCACGCCCTGCAGCCCGACTATGTCTCCAGGCCTCAGTTTCCCTGGACGGCGAACAGGGAGACGTGCAGCCCCGTCAGCACCGCGGACAGCTCCCCCGGTCCCCGGGCGTGTCCTCTGCGGACGCCTCTGCTCCGCAATCAGGCTCTGGCCCTGCTGGAGGCGTGACCTTGGGCTCTCTGCTGCACCCTCCAGCCTCAGTTTCCCCTTCAACGGGGGATGTTATAGCCCCAAGATTCAGAACGATTAGAGGCCGGCGAAGCGCTGGGGGAGGGTGGGGGTGGATATTTTGAATAGCAGCGTAGGTGAACGTCAAAGTAGGCCCTACCCTCCGTGCCCAGAAAGGGAAACTGAGGCCCGAAGAGGCGCAGGGCGTGGCTCAGCGTCTCCACCAAGCGCAGGGCGGAGCCTCCGCAAGGTGCGTCCCCGTCGCAGCCCCCACCGCCCCGGCTGGCCCCGGCACCAGTCTGCCAGGCCTCGCAAAGAGGAGGGGTCCGGGGGTCTCCCTAGGAGGCGCAGGGCTGGGCTGGGCGAGGCCTGCGCTTGCGCAGACCGGGGGGTGGGTCGCTTCGGCTACGGGAAGGGGCTCCCAGCCCGGCGAACATCGAGGCTGTTTCCCTGGCAACTGTCTCCACGGCAACTGCGCCAGACCCCCGACTCGTCAAGTCTCAGTGCGCTTGCCCGTGCGCCCCCCGCCGCCGGGCCCGCGTTCCCGCGGTTGGAACCCGCGGGGGCTGCGCCCAGACCGGACCCCATCCCGCTGCAGGACCCCCGCGCCCTACCTGGTCCCCGAAGAAGGCCGAGTGCAGCAGGCTGAGCAGCCCGAGGAGCCCCATCAAGCCGCGGCCGCCCCGACCGGCCCGCGCCCCGCCCCTCGGCCGTCGCGGTGGGGGTGGGGGCCGCGGCCGGGGACGCTGCGCCTGCGCGGAGGGGGGCAGGGAGGGTCACACCGCGGGGCTGGGGCGGGGCTCCCCCGAAAGGGGGCGGAGGAGGGGTCCCATGGGGCCCGGGCGCAGCGGGAGGACTCCGGGAACTGGAGGTGCGGGGCGCGCGCCCGCGTGGGCAGAGGCGCGAGGGGCGGGCCTCCGCCGGCTGCGGGTTCCGACCAGGCTGGAGGTGGGGTCCAGCGCAGGGGAGAGAGGCGGGGGCTCGCACGTAGGTTGGGGGACCCCACCAGTGCAGGAGGGTCCCAAGGGAATGGAGATCTTGGAGGGACAGAAGCGGGCGTCGCCCTGCGGCTTAATCCGCTGCCCGCTCGGACGCTCACCCTGCGTCTGCCCTAGCCGGGCGCCCAAGTTCATTAGTCATTCAGCAAACATTCGCTGCGCACCATTTGCCAGGCTCTGAGCTGGGCGCTGGGCATGGAGGGGCCGTCGTGCGGGGCCAGTACAGCACGTAGTCATTTAACAAACATTTATTAAGCACCTACTGTGTGCTGGCCCCTGTGCAATTAATAAAACACTCAAAACCCTTGTCCTTGGGAAACTGACATAAACAGATCAGAGGCGGAGCAGGGGGCGTAGGGGGAGCCGCTGAGAAGGGGGCACTTGAATAGACCCGAGTGGTGTGGGGAGTGCGTCCAGGCAGAAGGAACAGCGGCGCAATGGGGAGGAGGGTTGTGAAAGCGGGAAGGGCCCCAGGGGAGGTGGGAGCCATGGAGGGCTGTGAGCAGAGCAGGGACGCGCCCGACCTGGTGCTCACAGGCGCCCTCTGGCAGCTGCGGGGAGAACAGACCGTAGGCAGCGCCAGGAGACCAGGGCAGCGACTGCGCTGGTCCAGGGCGGGCGCGGGGGCTCCGCCTGGGTGGGGGCCGGGAAGGGGGTATTACTATGACCTGGGAAGGCAGAGGACCAGTGGCCAGGCCAGAAAGGTAATGGTGAGGACAGGACAGGCCCTCACCAGCAGGTGCCTCGGTGGGATCCGGCAAGGCTGGAGGTGGAGCACGCCCGAGTGAGGAGCGGTGGGGCGAGGGGGAAGGCTGGTGTCGCGGGCGTACGTCTGTGTTTAAATCGCCGTCCAGGCGGGAGACGGTGGGAGCCTGGCCAGGCTGGTAGCAGCGGTCGGTGTCGAGAAGGGGCCGGGTCCAGGACAGGGAGGGGTGTGGGAGCAGAGGGGCAGAAACACTGGTGTGATGTGGCCCGCGAGGTCCGAAGACAGAGACGAGGCCTTGGCCTTGAGTCCGGAGAAGGGTTGGGCAGCGAGGCACAGGGGGTCGGTCCCAAAGGCTCCCACCCCTCCCCCAGTAAGCCCGGAAACTGCTGCTGGAAGGAGGGGCCACCTGTCTGCTGGAGGCAGCCTGAGCTGGCCCCAGGATATCCCATCCCCAACCTCGATTTTTCACTTGAAATACTAACATATTTTCCCTGATCATACATGATTGATTCAGACTGCAGAAAAGCTAAGGGAAGTAACGATCCCTGGCTAGCCCTGCCCTGAGCTGACCCAGGCGACATGTGGTGACCAGACTGGAACATGTCCAGTGAAGGCTGGAAAGGTGACTTGTGACCTGGAGGGTATCGGGAGTGATTTTATAGGTAAGAAACTTCCTGCAGAGCGCAGGACAGTAAATATGTTCATGAGTGTCTGCGTGTCCTGGCGTGACAGGACCACATAGATGAATGGTGCTGTCAATGAAACCTTCCGTGCAGAAGCAGCACGGCCCAGGCCCAGGCGCAGGCGAAGGCCGCAGCAGGTAGCCCACCCCTACAGCACAGCCCGGCTTGTCCCCGGTCTGCTGCCTCGTGGCTCACAAACCTCTCCCCCCACACGTGCACACACGCATATTTTGTTCCTGCAGGTAGACCTGGTGGCTCCAAAGCTCCAGCCATTTTTTTTTTTAGAGACGGGGGTCTCCCTGTCCTGCCCAGACTGGTTCCCACTCCTGGGCTCAGCGATCCTCTGGCCTCCCGAAGTGCCCACACGGATCAGCCAGCACACCCAGCTCTTCCACGTCTTTTGCTGCATATTTTTGATTTCTTGAAAAATGCAAAGACATACAGGTAGGGATGTGAAAGGGTGCAGCCGCTGTGGAAAAATTTTTACAGTTGGGCCGGGCCTGGTGGTGCACACGTGTAGTCCCAGCACATTGGGAGGCAAGGCAGGAAGATGGCTTGAGCCCAGGAGTTTGAAATTGCAGCAAGCTATGATGATGTCACTGCACTCCAGCTCGAGACTCTTGTCTCAAAACAATTTTACAGTTGGTCTGAAACCCAGTCAGGTTCAGGGACAGCCCAGAAAACTTTGAAGTATTTTTTTCATATATATAAAAAATCCCTCAGCATTGATCACCCACACACCCAAGTCAGCGGGCTCTGGGTTCCTTACTTCCCGGCAGGGGTTCCCCAGGCCTGCAGCCCCAGGGACCACTGGTCTAGGGCGCTCTGCATTAACCTGGAGGTCAGACACTCCCTGATCACGTCTGTGTGCTGTGGTCCCTCTGCTGAACCGGACCAAGTTGCTCAACTCGGTGAGCTTTTCTTCTGTTCCATCAACCAACCTGCTTCCCCACCCAGAGATTAGAGACCCGGCGATCCCCGCTTTCTCTCTGCAACCCTCCGATTCCAAATCAAGATGTAACAGCATTAATGAATTATGCTGAAATGTGGAGAAACATTGCAGAGAAAAGAGCCCACGGGCGGGGGTGGATTCTCAATCTGTCTCCTCTTGAACCCCTCCTCCTGCCTCACTGCTGCTCCAACCCCAGCCACACCCTCTGGGGGACCCGCCTGAGGCGCAGCATCTAACAGCTGCCTGGACTGCTCCACTGGACACTCGGTGCACACCAAAGCTAATGTCTCCCTGGCCCCCACCCCCACGGACGGCCACTCCAACCTTTCACTTGCTCAGGCCAAAACCTGCGCTTCCCTGCCACGTTCCCCTATCAGGGAGCCCCAACATGGCCCGGACACCTGCCCCGCCCTGTCCACAGAGGAACTGCCACCTCCATTTGTTTTTTCAAGCACCCCAAAGGCCCATGTAGCCTCCCCTTACAAAGGGGACAGATCCACTCAGCAATGTGTCAGGGAGCAGAGCTGGGACCCTTCAGCGCCATGACAACAGGGACAATGTCCCAACCCGCTGGACACGCTGTCCTGGGGGATGAGGCCCAGGAAGTCTTGACCCAAGGCTGGGGGGACTGGGACCAGATGCGGCCTCCCAGGAGCTTGCAGTAACACAGCCCCCGGGGCAGAGGGACAGAGCAGTGCAGTGCCAGGACACTCAGAGGACCCTGGGCAGGTGTGTGAAGCTAGGAGGGGGCAGAGGATCAGGTCACACAAAGGTTCCTACGGCTCGCAAGCCTCCCCTGTGGGAAGAACCCACAACTGGTGCCTGAGGGCCCCAGGAAGGGCAGGGGCTGGAGGGGCGACACTGCCTGGCACTGCCCCACACAGTGCACCAGGCCTCTCCTAAAGGGCATAATGAACAGCCCCCACCCCGGATGCTGTGAAGAACAGGTGCACTTGGGACTAGAGAAGTGTCTTTATTGGCTGAGCAGGCTACTTCAGGGGGATGAAGCGGGAGGAGTGGGTGGCGCCGATGCCGGGCCGGCCATGCTTCACCGGCTTGTAGGTGATGGAGAACTCTCCCAGGTAGTGGCCGATCATCTCGGGCTGTGGGAGGCCAAGAGCAGAGGCGGGTGTCAGGTGACCTCAGGTGGACAGACGACCCACCAGCCCCAGGCCCAGCACGAATCTCAGGGACAGGCCGCACCCACACGCACCTTGATCTCCACCTGGTTGAAGGTCTTGCCATTGTAGACGCCCACCATGCTGCCCACCATCTCAGGCAGGATGATCATGTCCCGCAGGTGGGTCTTCACCACCTCGGGCTTCTCCATGGGCGGCGCCTCCTTCTTGGCCTTGCGCAGGCGCTTCAGCAGCGAGTGCTGCTTGCGGCGCAGGCCGCGGTTCAGCCGCCGCCGCTGGCGCGCACTGTACAGCTGCATGAGCTGCTCGCTGGGGAGGACGGGCAAGGTGAAGGGACTAAGCCCTGAGCCCCCCTCCCACGCCGCCCTGGAACTTGCAGGGAACATGCCTGAGGCCAGAGTCACACTGACACCCCCTACCCAATACTGGGAATGAACCCCTCAAATACAAAAACCAACACGTAGCTGTTCACAGACTGAAAATAAGGAGGGCCTGCAATCCCAGCACTTTGGGAGACTGAGGCAAGAGTCAGGAGTTTGAGATCAGCCTAGACAACATAGCGAGACCCCACCTCTATGAAAAATAGAAAAAATTAGCCGGGTGTGGTGGTGCACGTCTACAGCCCTAGCTACTCGGGAGGCTGGGGCACGAGGATCCTTGGAGCCCAGGAGTTCGAGGCTGCAGTGAGCTGACTGTGCCACTGCACTCCAGACTGCGCCAGACACTGTCTCAAAATAAACTTTTTTTAAAAAGGAAAAAAAAAGAACCAGTGGCTGGTAGGGCGGTTCAGCAACTGGAACCTCATCAACAAGAAGCTGTAACTGCAACAATAACACAGCTCGGGCCAAAGGTCTCTAAAAAAACCCAAGTGAGGGTCCGACTGAAGCCCCAGCCAGGGAGCGTGCTCCTCCATGCCAGGTACCCCGCAGGTGTCAGAAGCCTCCCCCGCGGCCTCGGGAGACCAGTTCCTCCTGCCCCCCTGCACCTGGGGCAGACCACCACCACCCTGCCTGGAGAGCCCACGGCGCCCGCCAACTCCCACCCGCGGCCCGTTGTTAGGACACGTGGGCCACATGCACCGTTTACACTTCCCACCGGCTGGAAAGGAGCCCAATGTAGACACGTCGGAGTTAACCGCGCTCACCTACCGCGGCAGCGTCGTGCAGGGACCGGCTGGCCCGGGACGCCGCGGACACTACCCGGGGACCCTGGCCCCTAACGCCCCCCACCCGGCCTTACTAGGACATGTCCAGCAGCTGGTCCAGGTCCACGCCGCGGTAGGTGAACTTGCGGAAGGTCCGCTTCTTCTTCTGCTCCACTTCCGCCTGCGCGGGCCGGGGGTCAGCAGGAGCCCGACACCCCACTCCCGCGGCCGCACGGTGGGGTCACCGGGCCGAGGTCCCCGCGGGGACACAGCGACTCGAGACCCTCCGGGGAGGCGCGCACGGCTCCAGGTTTCGGGGGCCCGTCCGGCCTCCCCCGCCCCGCGGCGTTATGACACCCAGCGGGCCCGCCCTCGCCCCCATCCCGCGGCCCCGGAGGCCAGGAGCGGGCCGCCGCAGCCGCGGGGCCTGGCCCCGTCCCCCACAGGGTGGCCAGGGCTCGGATGGAGCCGGATAGACCCGGCCGGGACGCGCCAAATCGCAACACTCACCATGTTGCCAGCTCCTCAGAAAGGACCACCCTTGCCCGCGCTTGCGCAGTTATCGCGAGGCCGACGGCGTGCCCCGCCCTCGGCCATGCGCACGCTCTCGCTTCCGTCTCCCCGGCGGCGGACGCGCGCCCCCTGCCGCCCGGAGGGCAGAACACAGGCCGCGAGGACCAAACGAGCCGCCCGGGGTCTGCAGAGCCCCGGCCTCCAGGGAAGGCCCTTGGGACGTGTCACTGCCCTTTTCTGAGCCTCAGGCTCGTGCTGTGCCCTACATGATGGCACCCTCCTCAACAAGCACTTTGGAGCGCCTACTGTTTGCAAGCAGGTGCGGTTTAGGGGTTCGGGTCCCAGTGGGGACATGGACACACAAGGAGCAAGGTCACGTACAGATGTCAGGGCACGGGGGAGACGGGACACTAGGCAGACTTTAAGGGACATAAAGTCAGCAGCTGTGACAGCGCATCGCTGGGTTCATAACATACGCAGATGTGCAAGTGCAACCACCATCGCTCACATAGGGGACCAGCTACTGAGAGTGATGTCTGTACCTCGCTGGCACTAAGTCAGCATAAGTCTGAGGGGGATGCAGTAAGATGCGGAACCGCGTGACCCAGCAGTCCCGCTTCTAGGCACATGCACAAAAGAACGGGGAGCAGGGCCCACAGGTACGTGCACACCCATGCTCACAGAAGCACCATCGCAGGGGACGGAAGGTGGACGACACCCAGCATGCACCCACACTGAGCGGACACAGAATGTGGTCCATCCACACAGTACTCGGCCTGACACAGGCCGCAACGCGGATGGCCCTTGAGGACATCGTGCCCAGTGATAGATGCCAGACCCAGAAGAACAAGTCCTGTGTGATTACACATACAGGAGGTCCTTGGAGTCATCAGATCCACGAGACAGGAAGTAGGATGGCGGGTGCCAGGGGCTGGGGAGGCGGTGGGGAGTGAGTGTCTCACAGGGATGGAAGTGGTGATGGTTGCACAATGTGAATGTGCTTTAGCCACTGAATCATACACTTACAAACGGTGAAGCTGGTGAATTTTATGTGTATCTTACCATAATTTTAAAAAATAGAGAGCAAGCACTAAAAAAATCACTCAAAAAAATAAAGAATATTATTTAATGCAAAAGAAAATGTAACAGAGAAATACAGGAAAAAGCCGGACAACCCACAGAAAGCAAAAAGGGACATGGCAGATGTAAACTGAGGTACAGTCGACAACAAACCACACGTGCGATGGCGGTCCCCTAAGATCATAATACCGTATGTTTACTGTGCCTTTTCTGTGTTTAGATAGGTTTAGAGACACACATACTTACTGTTGTGTCACACTTGCCTGCAGTATTCAGTAGGGACGAGCTGTGCAGGTGGCAGCCCAGGAGCAACAGGCCACGACACACGGCGAGGTGCGCAGTAGGGCCTGGGTCTGCCTGAGTAGCCTGTGATGTCCGCACCACGAAATCGCCAAGGAGGCCGTTCTCAGAACGTATCCCTGTTCTGAAGCAACACCTGGCTGTACATCAGCAGTGACATCAGAGGGGCGAGTGGCCCTGAGTTCTGCTAGAGGGACCAGTGCAAAGGCCTGGAGGCCCAATGACCTAGCAGCTGCTGAAATGAAGGCCTGTGCTGCCCCATGTCATTTTGCTGTGCCTCAGTTTCCCTGCCTGGGACTGTCTGCTGTACACAGTGGGATTCTAATGTTTAGGAGAGAGTCAATGAGAAGAAAATACCCAGGGCAGGGGACAAGGAATTGAGGGAATCCAAGAGGCCCCACCTGTAGTCAGAGGGTCCTCAGGGCGGGTGGAGGATGTGGCTCCAGACCGTTGGCTCAAAAGCTTTCACAGTTCGTGCACACCTTCCCGGAACCTGGTGGGGATGGGCAGGCCCTGAGCTTAGCTGTGGCGCTGGGGCCAGCCAGGGCCAGAGTCAAGTGACGAAGGAAGCTGAGCCCTCTTCAGCCGTGCTCACGGTCCCAGGGGAAGCCAATCAAACTCTGCCCAAAAGAGGGCAGACTCTCCCTGTCCCTGAGGAGCACGAGGACCTGCAGGCGTTGCAGTGTTGCCCAGCAGGCGTCTGCCCATTTTCACGCAGCAAACACCATCCCAGGCACTCCCAGGCTGGCTGGAAACTTGTGAATTTTTTCACGATACTCCTTTGCCAGGGGAATTCATTTTGCAGAGAATGGCCTTCACAGCTGGGAGGAGCTCTGACAGCTATGTTTCCGTGGTGTGGAGAGGGCCCCTCCCGCCTGACCTCCCCCCACCCCCCCGCGGCCCCCGTAAACCAGACGGCAAAGAGCTCTGAGAACGGAGCGCAGGGCTGGTTGTGCGGCCAGGCCCAAGGTGCATGCGGGGGCCATGCCTCTTTCTTGGCTGTCTCCTACCTGGGTCAGCCCTTCCCTGCCCCAGACTGAGCTGGGGACGGGGTTTCTGACAGTCTCATTTGCTACCTGCCGAGCCGTCCCTGCCCTGACTCCCAGAACCTGTGGGTGTCACCTTCTGTAGCCAGACGTGACTAAGAGGCTTGAGACCGGAGAGGGCCACCAAGCCAGGAACCTACACTGCAGCCGCACTCCCACCCTCAGGCACTGGAACAGGTGGGCGGGACACAGCCTGGAAGCCCATATTCCCAGAGACAAGTGGCCAACAGGCACCCTAAAATTCGTATCTGCCAGAACCCCAAGATGCACTGGGGGCGGGCCCTGGCACCCCAGTCAGGCCGCTGTCCTGGGTTACAACTCCAGGAGAGCCCCCGGAGAACTGCAACCACAGAGAGCAAAGGCCGGGGCGAGGGCGCGTCTGGGTTCCAGACCTTTCCCAGGCCCAGGAAGCGTAAGCGCAGGCTGAGATGGAGGGAAGACACGGACACAACGTGGGTTTCTAATCCAAACGCACTTCTCTTTATTCAAACCAGGGTCAAAGTGGTCAATGGGAATTGCCCTGAAGCCACGTGCCCGAGGGAGATCGCTTCCGACAAGGCTGCTGCCGCGTCACCGCGGTGCTCTCGCGGCCGGCTGTGCGCAACCCCCACAGTGCACCTGCAAACACTACCAGGCAGGTCAGTCGACAAAAGCAAGGAATTAAACAAAAAACAAAAACACGCTCAGTAGATTTCTTCTTTAAGCTCCCAGAGTTTCTGGACCAACAAGTCCCAACCCCCTAAGCCAGGAGTGAGGGGATTAAAAACATGCCCCACTTCCACCAGTGCCGACGGAAACCCTGTTTTAAATTAAAAAATAAGCCAGTATACATCGTAGAAAATTTCTCTTAAAAATCTCACAATTTGTAAATGTATATTTTTTCTTTAACATAAAAGTTACAATATACGGTAAAACAAAAGGCTCAGGAAAATAATTTCAAAAAAAAGGAAGAAAAAGAAACCTGAAGTTTTGAATTAAAGCTGAAGACATTTTTTTAAACCCTGTTGTTGAACCAGTGACTTTTTTTTTATTGTGCTGATGGGTTAGAGAAAGAAATATATTTAAAAACCTCAGTCCAGACACCCACAGCCGCCTCCAAAAGCCTCGCGCCCCTCCCCCCTCCCCCAAGGTTGAGTCGCTACTTTTCCGCCAAGTTTGTGATTGTCACGAGTTCACAAGTTTCGAATCCTGGGTCTCAGCCGTGCAGACGACGCACTGCAGGCTAGCGTCGGTAGGGGTGGAATCCTTGCACGTTATGGTTCTGACCTCGTCCAAAGCCACTGCCACCAGCAGGGGGCCCCCCAGACCCTGGCACCGAGGGGCCCCCGTAGGAGGGGGGCTGCTGGCTGGGGTCCGAGAAGCCCTGTCCAAAGCCACTCAAGTCCTGCCCGTAACCTGCTGGGGGAGAGAGTCCCGTGAGCTCCGGGCAGGTGGTAGTCCCCAAGCAGCAGCCCCACGTGGTCGGTGCTGACCTCTGAGCAAAGATCCCTGGACCCTTTGTTGTCCCGCCTCAGAGTCCTCATTCCCAGGGGGCCGGCAGGCCAGCCGAAGCACCAGTGCCCTGCAATGACCAGGCAGCTGGGCACCTACTGCCTTTCCCAGGGAAACAAGCCCAGGGAGTTTTTATCCCCCTCAAAGCCACGTGAGCAGGACCCACACAGAAAAGAAGCTCAGGGACCAGCCCAGGCAGGACAAGGGAATCCAGGCAGTTGGCTCTCACGTGGAACATACCACTCTCAGGGTCTGAAAAAACACCCCACCAGCCCTTGCTTCGGGTCATAGCCCTGACACCCTCCCTCATGGGTGCCCCTCACCACTGCTCTGGGGCCCCCACACCGGCCCCCCTGCAGGGGCATGTCCACTGACAGGCATGTGGGGAACCAGGCCTTTGGGTCCAACCCAACTTCCCTATGGCTCCATTGGCAGAGGGGCCACCCTGCCCTGCACAGCTAGTCTGTCCCCACCGCTGACCTCAGTGGTGTGGGAGGTGCTTCTGGCCACGTGGACAGCACTGTCCTCAGATGGAGATGGCCCTGGCTCCTGCCCACTGAATGCACACACTTTGGAGGAAGCCCCATCCCAGGCCCTTGGGGTTCCCAGTCAGGGTGCACATGGGTACAGGTGGGCCAGCTGGAGGCTTGTGGCCAGTCAAGATCCTGACACCAGCAAGGGCCCCTGCCCAGAGAGCACCGCCGGAGTCCACCCCAACGCAGGACGGCAGAAGACGCCTTGTCCGCTTCCTAGTGAAGGCAGGCGGGAGGGCCGTGGCAGCCGCAGCACCTGCAGAGGCGGCATCACTGCCTAGCTTGCCCACGAGGTGTAAACAAACCACCAGCCAGAGCCCAATGGGTCTGGAGAACAGGTACCCAGGCCCAACCAGACACAAGACCAGGGCGACTAACCCTAGGCGGCTGTGACAGAGAGCAGCGGACAGATGTGCACAGCCTGCACGGGTGCTTCAGCACCCTGGCCAGCTGTAGACAGGTCAGGGCTTTGCAGGGGGACAAGAACCAATGCGCACAGTGACCCAGGCTGGGCTTGGGGAATCTTAGGTGCTGCAGTGCATGATGTGCACGGATGCTTCACGCGAAACAATTCCAACAACCAAGGGCAGATGACCTTCCGGTGGGCAATG